GAGAGGATGAAGAGAGGACGGGAGGGACTGACGAGCGAGAGACGCGAGGACAGGAGAGCAAAGACGAGCGAGAGGAAGAGAGGCATACGAGAGAGGAGGGGGGCGGGAGGGGGACTGAGAGAGGAAAGGGAGGAGAGAGAGAGAGAGAGAGAGAGGAGCAGAGAGGGAGGCAGAGAGAGAGCAGAGACGAGAGAGTAGAGAGAGGAGATGGATGCAGAGACGGCAGAAGAGAGGAGAGGAGAGACGAGGAGAGAGAGCACAGGTTCAGAGAAGAGACAGACAAGAGACAAGACGCTAAAGGGAAAAAAGACACGAAGACAGAGAAATGACAAGGTGGGGAGCCGCCAAGGACGGCGGCTTCGTTGATATGTTGTCTTCGGAGAAACTTCTCTTTAATATTAGCGCTGGCCGCCGCGTGTGGGGGGGGGGTCCAGGGCTGCAGGGGCGTGGACGGAGTGGAGTGAGGGGGGGGGGGCTCTAAGCTAATTACGCTGACGATTTAGGGGAACTGCCCTCCCCTTCCACCCCACCCCACCCCCACCTCTGGCATGACGACCCAGGTTTAAATTATCTCAACAAAAAATATATATTTCTTGGTCCTGGGCCTCGGCCATCACGTTTTACTCCCCGGAGGAGGAGGAGGAAGAAAGGAAGAAAGGGAGAAGGAGGTGGGAGCGTTGGGAAGGAAGGAGGAAAGGTTGACGGAGGAGGAGGATCTGTCGGAGAAGGAGGAAGATGAGGGAAGAGGGGGAGGAGGAGGAGAGAGGAGGAGGAGGAAGGAAGGGAGGAGGAGAGGAAAGAAGAGAGGAGGGGGAAGAGAAGAGGAGGAAGAAGAATAAGAAAAGCGAAGGCGAGGAAGAAAAAAGTATAAAAAGATGGAGATTGGAGAAGAAAGGAAAAGAAGGAGTGATCAAACCGATAGTTCATCTGATTTTGATGAACGTCTACAAAAAAAAAAAAAAAAAAAAAAAAAAAAAAGTAAATGAAAACCAAATACAACAGGATTAATCCAACCTGAATCAAAGCCGGTATATATTGGGCGGTAGGCTGTAATCAACGGCAATAATTTGTTTTTAAATCAGTTTATGTACAAACTGGATATTACGCTATAACCACCAAAATTAGAGTATATATAAACATCATATATAGTACAACGAAAACCAGGCCGCCTCACAGGCATTACTCAAACAGTTTTCTGACCTGAGCTGAGAGAGAGAAGAGAAGAGAGAGAGAGAGAGAGAGAGAGAGAGAGAGAGAGAGAGAGAGAGAGAGAGAGAGAGAGAGAGAGAGAGAAGAGAGGAGAGAGAGAGAGAGAGAAAGAGAGAAAGAGAGAAAGAAGAGAAGAGAGAGAAAGAGAAGAACGAAAAGAGAGATGAGAGAGAGAGAGAGGAGAGAGAGAGAGAGAGAGAGAGAGAGAGAGAGAGAGAGAGAGAGAGAGAGAGAGAGAGAGAGAGAGAGAGAGAGAGAGAGAGAGAGAGAGAGAGAGAGAGAGAGCAGAGAGAGAGAGATCGCTTTAAAGGGTTTGGACAATCGGTGTAATAAAAAACTCCCTTAAAATATAAACATAATGAATAAAAAGTAAACCCGCGAAGTAATGGTGACTAAGAAACGTTTCACAGTAGCTAAGACAAGGCATTCTATTTACTATCACCATCACTTCTATGGCTGCCTGCTTGTTGGGTACACCAGAAATCATAAAATTTTCTTCAGCTTAGCATTCTTATAATACACAACACACAGTACAGACCACACAGACACACACCACACACACAGCACCACAACAACACAACAATACATATCACAAGACACACACACACAAACATACACACACACAACACAAACACAAAACACACACACACACACACACACCACACACACACACACACACACAAGACACACACACACACACACACACACACAGCAAACATACACACACACATCACACACAGCTTGCACACAGAATCCCACTTAAGGCCTGGACACAGCCATCAAAAAAAAAAAAAAACTACACACACAAAAAGTTCCTTTCTATGTGAAAATAAATACTGATGGTTCTAACGTCTGTTGGAGGAGTACTATATGAACACAAAGAGTGACAAAAAGAGCGTAGTTGCGGGAGGTAGGAAGAGGGGAAGAGGAGGAGGGATGGAGAGAGGAGAGGGAGAAAGGGAGAAGGGAGGGAGAAGAGGAGAGAGGGAGAGAAGGAGGGAGAGAGGGAGAGAAAGGAGAGAGGAGGGAGGAGGGGAAGAGAGGAAGAAGGAGGGAGAGAGGGAGAAGGATGGGAGAAGGAAAGGGACGGGAGAAAAGAGAAGAGAGAGAGAGAGAGCGAGAGAGAGAAGAGAGAGAGAGAAGAGAAAGAGAGAGAGAGAGAGAGAGAGAGAGAGAGAAGAGAGAGAGAGAGAGAAGAGAGAGAAGAGAGATAGAGAGAAGAGAGATGTGTAGAAGTGTGTGTGAAGAGATGATAAAAAGTGAGAAAAGAGAGAGAAGCGAGAGCGAGAGGAGCGAGAGAGAGAGAGAGAGAGAGAAGAGAGAGAAGAAGAAGAGAGAGAGAGAGGAGAGAGAGGAAGAGAGAGAGAGAGAGAGAGAGAGAGAGAGAGAGAGAGAGAGAGAAGAGAAGGAGGAAGAGAGAGGAGAGGAAGGAGAGAGAGAGAGAAATAGACGACAGACAGACGGACAGAGAATAACGTAAAAAGAGGCCCACAGAGCCAGAAAGGAGACAGAAGAAACGACAACCCAACAGGGGAAGACACCAAAAAGGACGACCGAAACCAGAGCCATTCGCAGAGCAACGAGAGCGCCGTCGACAAAAACGAGGAAGAGAGAGCGAGTCAGCAGAAGTCAGGCGAAGAGTCAGCGGCGGCGAGAACGTCTCAACACCGCCGTCAGAAGAGACAAGGCGCCGCGGGAGGATGTTCACGCCTGTCGGCCCCCCTCGGCATCTCTTACAATGTACTCGGCCATTACGCTGTCCTGCGCTAAGTAAGCCAAACTCACGCCCGTCTACACACGTACAGCCGTACACGTACATATACACGCCCACGCCCTCACGCAGATAGCCCACATACAGTATACGAACATACACATACAGAAATCCTGTATATGTAAAAGATCTTTATTACACATACACACGACACACGTGTACAACGTGTGTCACACATACTACATACATACATATACACATACACACCACACAGATGGGGCTACATGAATAGGTCTCACAGCCACTTCCAAAGGAGTGGACACATATACACACCGAATATACACAAGCGAAAGCACATGCAGGACGATGCAAGATTCCGGGAATCACATATGTACACATACACTATATTCACAACATACATCGGATACAAGTACACGATAAAATAACACAATATTGATACAATGGGAGAGAGTACGTATGTGTTTATACAAATACATACGTGCATATATCCATATATAAANGTATATATATATATAATATATATATATATATATTATATATACTTATATATATATATATATATTATATATTATATATATATATCATGCTCTGGCTCCCGATAGCTTATACTATATATATATATATATATATATATTATATATATATATTATATATATATAATATATATATATATAACATATATATATATATATACATATATATATATATATATATATATATATATATATATATATATATATATATTATATACACAACATATATATATATATATATATATATATTTGGTATGTATGTATGTATGTATGTATGTATATACACACACACACATCAGAGGAGAGAGTGAGGGAGTGTTGGGGGAGGGAGAGGAGAAAGTGAGGAGAGGAGAGGTGAAAGAGAAGAAGGAGGGAGGGGAAGGGGAAGGGGGGGAGGAAAGGTAAGAGAGAGAGAGATAGAGAAGAACGTGAAAGGGAGGGAAAGAGAGAAAGAGAGAGATGCGGTTTATCTCTTTATTTCCAGTATATAAGCTATAGTCTGCGAAAGCTCTCTGGACGACTGCCTCTTTCTCGCCCTCCGTGGGATCCTCTCTCCTGTTGCCAAGTTCTCATTCTCTCTCTCTCTCAAAAGCGGCAACAGCAATCAATAAATTAAACACGCAACACTCGACCAATAAAACAAACACGTACACTAACAACAACAACAAACATACAAAACAACAACAACAACAAACACACCAAACAGCTCGATATTAACATACCAACAACAGCAACAACTACACCAAAACAACAAATTTATTAGCTGTGCACATTCCCCAATGGCCGGCGCTATGAGTGGCTCTTGGCAGATAATCAGATTCGGCGCAGTGAAGCGAGCTGAACGTGTCCGAAGCTTTGTGGTAATCTGTGCTAGTCTCTGAAAGTATTTTAGTAAGATGTTTATCATTATACATAACTTCTGACAGACTCCTTATTACACACCAAAATAGTCAGTATTCCATGTCACGCGCATTTTATGAATATGCTTCACAATGCGCTTCACATTCGCGCAAATCAACTCACTCACTCACTCAATCACACTCTCTCTTCACTCACTCTCTCTTCTCTCTCTCTCTCTCTCTCTCTCTCTTCTCCTCTCTCTCTCTCTCTCTCCTCTCTCTCTCTCTCTCTCTCTCTTCTCTCTCTCTCTCTCTCTCTCTCTCTCTCTCTCTCTCTCTCTCTCTCTCTCTCTCTCTCTCTCTCTCTCTCTCTCTCTCTCTCTCTCTCTCTCTCTCTCTCTCTCTCTCTCTCTCTCTCTCTCTCTCTCTCTCCTTCCCCTCCTCCTCCCTCCCTCCTCCATATCGTATATAATGTGTGTGTATAGATAGATAGATGGATTGATATATATATTCGTATAGATAGAATGTTATATATTCATATGTATATGTATACGTTTCTTCTTTTTCTTCTTGACATTTTATTTTATTAATGTCGCTTCTTGCCCAGCCGCGCCTTCTTCCTCTCCTACAGATGCTGCAAGTGGAATCTGCTCAGTGTGCTGCGGACGGACATGTCGAAGCACGTCACTATGCGACGCTGGCGTCTTTCTTGGCCTCCTGAGTCGGGGAAGCGAGGAAGTCCTCCAACCAAGTCGAGAGCTCGACCTCGTCAACAGTCGGAGTGGCGGCGTCTTCCTCGTCCTCTGGAGTCGGGGAGGCGAGGAAGTCGTCCAACCAAGTCGAGAGCTCGACTTCTTCCTCGGCCTCTGGGGAGGCAACGATAGCTTCAAGATTTACAAGTAAAGCATCGTGAAAGTCCTGGTTTAACCACTCATTATCATCTGGATTTAGCTCGACCTCCTGAACCGGGGAGGCGAGGTATTCAACGATTAAAGCGTTATAAAAATCTGATTTCAGCCAGTTCTTTGAGGATGCGAGGCATTCGACAATCAAAGCATTTTGAAAGTCTTGATTTAAACAATTAAAATAATTTTGCTCGTCTGTCGGGGTGGCGCCTGCCTCCTGAATCGGGGAGGCGAGGTTCTATTCGACGAATTCCTGTTCTAACCAAACAGAATAATTTTACTCGACTAATGGAACAGGGGCGGTGAGAGCCTATTCAATAAGCTCTCGTTATATCCAGTCATAAAAATTCTGTCTTATTTCCTAAGCCAAGGAGGCGAGGGAGGGCGACTCTTCCTGAGGATGAACTGAGGAGGCGAGGGAGGCGTCTTCCTCGACCTCCTCCTGAGGATGAACTGAGGAGGCGAGGGGGGGCGTCTTCCTCGACTCCTCCTCCTTTTTTGGAGTTTTCTCGATGGGAAGAACTGAGGAGGCGAGGGTGGCGTCTTCCTCGACTCCTCCTCGAGGGACTGAAACTGAGGAGGCGAGGTGGGGCGTCTTCCTCGACTCCTCCTGAGCCTGAACTGAGGAGGCGAGGGTGGTGGCGTCTTCCTCGACCTCCTCCTGAGGATGAACTGAGGAGGCGAGGGTGGTGGCGTCTTCCTCGACCTCCTCCTGAGGCTGAACTGAGGAGGCGAGGGTGTGGGGTCGGCTTCCTCGACCTCTCCTGAGCTGAACTGAGGAGGCGAGGGTGGTGGCGTCTTCCTCGACCTCCTCCTGAGGCTGAACTGAGGAGGCGAGGGTGGCGTCTTCCCTCGACCTCCTCCTGAGGCTGAACTGAGGAGGCGAGGGACTCCTCCTGGTGAGGAAGGCGAGGGAGGCGTCCTTCCTCGACCTCCTCCCCTGAGGCTGAACTGAGGAGGCGAGGGTGTGGCGTCTCCTCGACCTCCTCTGAGGCTGAACTGGAGGAAGGCGAGGGCAGCGTCTTTCTCGGACCTCCTCCTGAAGGCTGAACTGAGGAGGCCGAGGGAGGCGTCTTCCTCGCACCTCTCCTGAGGCTGAACTGAGGAGGCGAGGGAGGCGTCTTCCCTCGACGTCTCCTCCTGAGGCTGAATTGAAGGAGCTGAGGGAGGCGTCTCCTCGACTCCTCCAGAGGCTGAACTGAGGAGGGGAAGGGAGGCGTCTTCCTCGACCTCCTCCTGAGGCTGAACTGAGTGAGTCGAGGGAGGCGCTCCCTGCGACCTCCTCCAGAGGCTGAACTGAGGAGGCGAGGGATGGCGTCTTCCTCGAGCCATCCTCCGCTGAACTGGAGGAGGCCGAGGGGGCGTCTTCTCGACCTCCTCCCTGAAGGCCTGAACTGAGGAGGCGAGGGTGGCGTCTTCCTCGACCTCCTCCTGAGGCTGAACTGAGGAGGCGAGGGAGGCGTCTTCCTCGACCTCCTCCTGAGGCTGAACTGAGGAGGCGAGGGAGGCGTCTTCCTTCGAGCGGCCTTGAACTGAGGAGGCGCGTCCTTCCTCGAACCTCTCGCTGAGGCTGAGATTCTTCCTCGCGAGGGAGGCGTCTTCCTCGACTCCTCCAGAGCCTGAACTGAGGAGGCGGAGGGAGGCGTCTTCCTCGCACCTGCCCTCCTGAGCTGAACTGAGGAAGGCCGAGGAAGGCGTCTCCCGACCTCGCTCCAGAGGCGAACTGAGGAGGCGAGGAGGCGTCCTTCCTCGACCTCCTCTGAAGGCTGAACTGAGGAGGCGAGGAGGCGTCTTTCCTCGACTCCTCCTGAGGGCCTGAACTGAGGAGGCGAGGGAGGCGGTTTCCTGCGAGCTCCTTCCTGAGCGCTCCTCTCTGAGCTGAAATGAGGAGGCGAGGAGGCGTCTTTGGCAGTCGACTCCTCCGAGGCTGAACTGAGGAGGCGAGGGTGGTGGCGTCTTCCCTCGACTCCTCTGAGGCTGAGCTGAAACTGGCGAGGAAAGGCGAGGACTCCTCCTGAGGCTGAAACGAGCGACCAGTAGGCTCTGAGGCTTCCTCGACCTCGCTGAAGAGGCGAGGGAGGCGTCTGCCTCGACAT